ATGTACCAACCAGAGCTTTCATGGACGAGGCATACATGAGGAATACTGACAGCTTGGGACGCACGCCAGCGGAAGGGTTCTACGCCTACCTCTTCATAGACGACGAAGACAAGAAGAGAGTGTGCATCCTGCCCAACAAAGATGAAACCGAGCTTCTTGGTGTTGGGAACATCGAGTTCTTGCCCACGGAGGAAGAATGCTTTGCCCCTCTCGGAGGACCACCTGCTTCAGCGATTGCCCCTCGTCAAAGGTCCGAGTCTCCAGCCACAGAAGATGAAATGCCCGAGGCCTACACACTTCCCAAGCTAGACTTTGAGCCGAGGACAAAAACCGAGAAGTTCCTAGCATCTGTTGTGGAGATGCAAAGGAAGATCAACAAGTGGCAAGGCAAGATGCTCAAGAAGCTTGGAAAGAAAGTCAAGGCACTTCAGGGAGGCTCGCCTAAGAAAGCTGCAAGTCAAGAGGTGCAACAACCCGAGAAGAGAAGGCTCTCAACCGGTGGAGTTGTCATCCGCGAGACCCAAGGAAGCAACATTCAGCCGGCGCGCCACTCTCTCCAAGAACCAGCCGACAAAGGCAAGACCATAGTCTCTAGCTCCTCTGGAACATCCTCAAGTTCCAGCCGACTAGACCAGAGGTAACAACCTTCTTCCATTGTACATAACCGCTCATATTTGCTTCTTTTTGCTTTGTGTTTTGATGCTCCTTCGAATGAGTTTGCCACCGGGACGGTGTCAAGCAAGTTTGGGGGAGTACATGTGTGATTTGACTTGTGTTCTGTGATCTTATTTTCCTTTAGCATCCTTGAGTCTTTAGTTCATGAAAAATTGGTAAAAGTTTTTTAAAATTTTCAAAGATTCATGTAGTTGCATTCATCTTGTCAAAACATGTTAGGATTGAGTCTAGAGTTTCTCATAGCATCCAGGTTGTTTGCATTTTGCATAAGGGGTTAGAATTTCTTAAAAAGGTGTTTTTACTTATGAATTGTTTCAATGCCCTAGTTAGTAGTTCTCTAATGCTTTGTCTATGCTTTGAAAGTAAGTTCTTACCATGCTTGGATCACTTGTTAGGATTTTCGTGGCTTGAATTGAACTCTCATGATTTAAAACTCATCCTAATAAGTGAGAACCTTAATTTGAAATTCTAATTATCATCCTTATGCATTTGAAAATAAACACATGGTTTTAAAATATTTAGGCTCTCTTCTTCCTTTTTACCACTCTTTGTGAGCCTAAGTAGAACTCCCTCCTTGAACCTTACCCTTCTTTGAAGCCAAATGTTCTTGTGTGACATCTTTGTGAGGCCTTCCTTTCGGTTTGAACTTGGCATAAAGTGTTAGGTTTAAGCGACAAGATTTGGTTTTCATATGATTGCTAGCTTTGCATTTTGAAGCTAGGTATAGGCTTAGGATAAGTTTGGGGGATCATTGGGGTTGCTTTCTTTCCTATTTGTTCTCGGTTTCAAAGAACTTTGTGTTTTAAAGAAAGAAATGGGTTTTAAGTGAAAGGTTATGTTTAAAAACTAAGTATGCTCTAATAAATTTCAGGAGGTAGCTCTCCCATAATAAAATAAAAATAAAAAGAGAAAAAAAAAGAAAAAGAAATAAAAGAGCCTAAGTGCCAAATAAAAATAAAAAGGAAAAAAAATAAGAGAGCTACCAATAAGAAATATCTAAAGAGCAAAAATTATTTTCAAAACCTTTTCACTAGCCTAAAAAGTTTAAAAATGTTCTTGTTTCGGATTGGGGATTGCTAAGTTTTGTGAAGAAAAAGGGTAGACTCTAAGTGGTGAGTGAGGATAAAATTTGTTAAATGAGAGGGGTATAGGATCGTTTGTTAGTTTACATGGGTAGATGAGAATCTAATCATGTATGCATAAATTGTCTTTACCTCTAGCATTATGCACAAGTTCAACCATTTTTGAGAGAAACCCTTGTTCTAATTATAAACCCTTTTCAAATGAGATCATTCAATGCTCATAACCTTAACCCTTAGCCAAATGTGTTTTACTTTAAAGTGCATAAGTTTGATTCATGGTTCTAATGTTAATGAATGTTAAAGGATGAGTTTCTTTGATTGTTAGGAATAGGAGAGTCATGATTTGAATTTCTTTGTGTGATGAGTATGGCTAAGTTCTTTGGAGTATGAGTGTAAGCATAGCATTTTAGAACTGTTAACTAGGACATTGAAATTGATTCATTTGAAAGGCACCTTTGCAAGAAGTTTAAACCCCCATTCGTTTTTCTGAAAACCTCTCTTCCTTACTTATTTTCTGTTGCTTGAGGGCAAGCAAGAAGTAAGTTTGGGGGAGTTGATGTTACTGCATATTGCATACATTTTGCATACTCAATAGTTAGCTTTTCATGCATTTGTATCACATTTTAGGGTAGATTGCATCACTTAGAGTTCTAGAGCATTCTTGCACCAGCATACGCATGTTCCTTGCATTTTGCATCATATTCAGGTTGTTTCTGGCTGCTTTGGAGTCGTGGAGGTTCGTGGACATGTTGAGGCTGATGTAGCAGTTCGTGGGAGCTCGGATATATGCTAAGGATCAGAGATTGAGGAGCAGATCGAGCATGGCCGGTCGATCTAGGAGGTGATCGACCAGAAGATCGAGCCAACCAGGCGATCCAAGGAGAATGATCGAGACAAAGATCGAGTGAAGCAGTCGATCAAACAGTACGGACGTAAATGACGCCATGCAGAGCGAGAGCCAGATCGAGTACACCACTCGATCCACCCAAAGATCGATACCGAGATCGGATGCAACACTCGATTCGCCGATGATGATCGAGACCCAGATCGAGCCGAAGACACGATGTCCGGATATGATCGAGAGAACCAATCGATCCTTGAGTCGATCTCTGTCCTTTCAACCACTTTTGGCTGCTAGCGAGGGGGGACCATCAGCTTGTTTTGGCCATTTTGGGAAGGCGACGACGTCCTTTTCCCATACAACTTTGGATCCTTATCTTTTTCCTTATGTTTTCTCTCTGTTTTTCGTGAAGAACACCATTGTCGAACTTGAGTTTTTCTTAAGCTTTGTAATCAAATCGTTCCCGTTTTAATCTAGTTTTCTTTTCATGTTCATCGTTTCCTTTTACATGCTTTGTTTGATTTACCTTATGTGTAGTGAGTAGTTTATTTGGGTTCGGGGTTGAGAGGATTAAGGGGTCTAAAAGGTTTCGATCTTGGGGTTTTTCTAAGCGTTTTCAACGGCTATCTCTTCTAAGGTGTTGAGATCTCAATGCTTGAAGACTCTCACGCCAAGAGCTTCATGATCCGAGAGGTTCCTTACCTTGACAGGATTCAGGAGCCTCGGAAGATCACACCTTAGAGACTAGTTACCCCTTCCCAAAAGCCATGGAAGTTTGGGGGATTAATTGAGCCATTCATTTGAAATCTGTTTTCCTTGCCCTTCAATCTCTCTTTCCACCAAAATCCATGGGTTTGGAGGAGAGGATGAAGGAGTGATCTATACCGAAAGCCACAGATCTTGCTTAGTTTTCAAGGCTTAGAGATCCTCACAAAGTGAGTCGATTTAAAGTTTTCAACCCAAGGTCGAACCTTTGAAACCCCTGACCATGAATCTCAACCCTAGGCCCTTTCTTTTAGCATCTTTACATCTTATCTCGTCATTTGCTTGATCTTTGATAGCATCCTGGTAGTTTTACTGTTTTTGCATTTTTAGACGAGATCGATTGTTATTGCTCGATCTAGTGATCGATCTCATGGTCGATCTACTAGTCGAATTTTAGTAATTCGAAGCTTGGTCCTTTAATTAATCTGTTTGTTCCTCGTGGTAGTTCCTTCATTTCTAGTATTTTAAAAATAAGTTGCATTCTATTTAAGTTGCTGCATCTAGTTTTTAGAGATTTTCTCATAAATCATCTCATTTCGCTTGGATTTGCATTAGTCCTTGTATTCTCTTTGCGTTTTCTATCATCCTAGGCATGGATTGACTCTCTCTTGCTTGCTGTACTACAACATGTCTTGCATTTGAGTTTGATAACCTCACTGCATTTTCACCCTTGCTAAGAAAATGTTTATCAATGCCCTAGATTTTTGGGAAATTTATAAAAATTCTAGCAAGATAATAGAGGAAGGAATCTAGAGATAGAATAAAATCTAGAACTTTTTCAAATATCTAGCTAGTTTTAAAAATTTGCTAAACCCCTAACATCTATTATTCAAACAATGCAAAGAAAAAGGGAATTCTCTAAAAGATTTAAGACTAAAACCCGAAAATACCTTTGCAAAATTTTGAAAAAAGATGTTGTTGACCTTTAGAAATTCACACTCTCTCTTTGCTTTATAACTCTCGAAACACAGAAAATGAGAGAGTGTGTGTTTGAAAATATAAAGGCCAACAAAACTTTAAAACCATGGGCAAGATTTAGTGGTTTCTGACAAAAAGCTTGGTCAATGCATATCTTTCATGGTCAAAGATTCCTGCCTTGACCAAGATTTGAATTTAAAAACAGGAGGGAAAGAAGAAAAGAGGGAAAAGAAATTGTTACCTCGGCACGAGATCGAGTCCATTTGGTCGATCTAGGACTTGATCGCATGCCCATAATGGCTAGGATCAAGAGGTTTGATCGATCAGGGACTCGATTCAAATAGCATCGAGTCTTAGATCGACTGTCCCTCTCGTTCTTTGACTTTTGGTCAACCAGGCATTGGTCCTTGGATCGAGCTACATGGTCGATCCGAGGGTCGATTTGGCTTAGATGGAGTGGTAGATCGAGTAGAATTATCGATCTATCCTTGAGAATCGAGTGACTCGGTCGATCTACACCTCGTTTGCTTTTCAGGTCAAACACATGGATGGTTTATCTTCTCGTGACCAACCGTTCCACTCGATTTGTCTACTCGATCTCGTCTAGATCAACTTTCTCCTCTCGATTCACTAGCTTGATCTAGTTAAGATCAAGCTAGGAGTCGATCTAGCACTCGATCTCTAGCCTATACTTAACCTTTCTCGCCTTTTTCAAACTCCAAGATCGCACCTAACAACCCCTTATCCATTCACTTACACACTTAAACATTAAGAGCATAAAACTGAAGTAAAAAAACACACATTATTATCAAATTTTCCTGCAGCGTCTATACGAGTCACGAAACCAGATTACCACGAGCCTTCTCTCTCCTCTCTCCTCTCTCTCTCTCTCTCTCACATTCTCTACCGCAAGAGCTCAGAGAACTGTTAACACATAGGACTTAAATGCCGTCGGAGATCCAGCGACCGGCGAGATCGACGGCGGCGTCTGGAGGATATCGGCGAGACTTCAGCCCCGACTCTTTGATCTTCACACCGGATTCAAATCTCAGCCTATTATCCTCCGCTTCCGTTAGCGTTGATCGCTGCTCCTCAACCTCCGACGCTCACGACCGCGACTCTCTCGTCTCCGCTCCCTCACGGGTACTTCCCGCATTGTTGAGAAATTGGGATAAAATAAATTTGAATCTGAGTTCCTGAATTTACTACGAGTTTATGATTTGACTGAGTCAAACTACCGAAAAAAAAAATCATGCAAAAAAAGTTGTTTTTTTCTCATTAATTTCGTCAATTTTTTGACTGTTCATCATTGAATGACGCATTAACAGATTTGTTTCTGTCGACGACGAAGCCAAATAATTTAAATATTTGTCTCTTCAGTATCTTCAATTGCAGGATTTACACATTTTTAGAGACGTCTATATGTAATTCAACAATGTAGATTCATTTCGAATTCTAATAGACATATTTTACAAGAATGTTTTTTTTTTTTGAGATTCTTTTTTATGGTAGACGTTTCTTGTAAATTACTAGATTTGGCATTTTTATTTTGAACTCCAAGATAATTATTTGTTTGCATTATTTGATATGACAGGAGCGAGATCAACGGGTGAGCTCGAGCTGTAAAGATCTAGATCCAGACAAGCGTGGAACAGCGTGGAAGAAGAACAGTCGCAGTTCAAGGAAATCAAATAAAGTGAAAGGTAAATTGATATAAAAAGTTGTCAAGAAAAGCGACAAAAGAGATTCAATTATGCTTTTGGAATTTCAAGAAAACACTAAGTTCTCCTATTTACATTCTCTTGTTTTTCAAACTGAAAAAGCAGCTTGGAAAGAAGAGTTTGTGGTGAATAAAGAAGACGAAATACAGAATCTTGATTCAGCAAGAACCTCTTTCTCTGTAGCTCTTAGAGGTGAGTTTCGTACTACTTAAGCAGACATTTCTTGATTACATTAGACCTTTTGATTCTAAACTCTCTAGTAGAATGCCAGGAAAGAAAATCAAGAACTCACGAAGCTGCTCTAGCGAAAAAGCTAGACAATCAAAGGAATACTACTTCATTGGATCTCAGTAACGTAACCTCTTCATCTCCACGAATCGTAACCGCCAAGCGAGCTTCGGTTTCGACTAATAAATCAAGCGTGTTCCCTAGTCCCGGGACTCCGACCTATCTGCACAGTATGCAGAAAGGTTGGAGCTCAGAGAGAGTAGCATTACGTTCAAACGGAGGGGCGAATGCTTCTTTGTTACCTTTGTATAGTGGTAGAACGGTTCCTTCGAAGTGGGAAGACGCAGAGAGATGGATACTTAGTCCTCTTGCTAAGGAAGGAGCCGCTCGGACTTCGTTCACAGCATCACACGAGAGGCGGCCGAAGTCGAAAAGCGGTCCTTTGGGGCCTCCGGGGCTCGCGTATTACTCGTTGTATTCTCCTGCTGTTCCTATGGCTCATGGTGGGAACATGGGTTGTTTAACATCAAGCTCTCCGTTTTCAGCTGGTGTGTTGCCAGGAAATGGTTCTGTTCCTCAAAGAACCGATCATTGTATTGCTAGATCAGTTAGCATCCATGGCTGCTCTGAAACACTTGCACCTTCATTGTCATCACCACAAGGTAATAGACAAATATCAACTCTATGTAAACTACTTTTGGAGTTTCGTATATAATCTAACTCTGTTTTAAGGATAACCAATATGTACAGATAATATACATGAAAGTATTAAGGATGCTGCGAATGATGCTCGAGCTGTGTCGAGAAGGGATATGGCGACACAGATGAGCCCAGAAGGAAGCATTCGCTTATCCCCTGAGAGACAGTGTTCTTTCTCTGCCTCATCTCCTTCATCATTAACTATTGTGGAGCTACTGAATGCTCGTTCAAACCGAGCAGAAGTCAAGAAGTTACAGGTTGATGAGAAGGTGACTGTGACTCGCTGGTCAAAGAGGCATAGAGCTCTGTACCATGGAGATAGCTCGAATATGCGAGACCACTTACATGGACAAGATAGGGATAATCAAGGTTTGACATGGTAAGTTCTTAAAGGGTCTACAAATGATTTCCTTAGTATTTCTTTCGGTTTTTTTCCCATATATATTCCTTATATAGAATTCTAGATTATAGGGTTGACACATTAATCAATCTCTTTAGTTCTGGAAGAATCATATAAGCTGGTTTTATCTATGAAATCAATATCTGATATGGCCTAAAGTAGACAGTTAATCCAATGCGTTTCAGTGCTTATTGTCAAACAAATAAATTAAACTTGGAGCTGTGATTGAAAATTTTATATTTCTGTAGGGAAAAAACAGAGGAAGCCAGAATCATATCTTGGGAAAATTTGCAGAAAGCTAAGGCAGAGGCAAATATAAGAAAGCTAGAGGTTATTTTCTCTCATCCTGTCTCCTTACTTATTCTCCTGAAGCATAAAAAAGACAATTTCAATTGTAGCTCATAAAGTAGTAATAAATATATCCAACGCAACATTGGTAGTAACTGCGTGAGTGTATCACATTTTTTGCTCAGATGAAATTGGAAAAGAAAAGATCATCATCAATGGAGAAAATAATGAGAAAAGTGAAATCAGCAGAGAAGAAAGCGCAAGAGATGAGGAGTTCGGTGTTAGAAAATCGTATAGCTTCAAATGCATCACATGGCAAGGCTTTATCTTTCAGAATAAGTGGGAAGAAGAAGATTGCTTCCTTAAGTGGTTGCTTCACCTGCCATGTATTCTAGTAATTGCCTATTTTCCAAGAAAATACGGTAAAAACTACTCTTCCACTGATCATGCGTGCTTTTAATACTTTTGATAGTTTGTAGACGTTGATTTTGGTTCATGTGCTTACATTTGTAGTTAGTTGAGTAAATCCGTGAGATGAGTCTACCCCTTTTCCATCTATGTAGAACTGTGGAGTGTTAAGAGGTGAATTGATGACCATATCTATTTTTACTAGAAGATATTACAAAAAAGAGTACTTTGTAGAAGTATAATATCAAGAAAAGGCACTTTTTATCATGAAAAAATTTTAGTATACTCTCTCTCTCTCTCTCTCTCTCTCTCTCTTTCTCTCTCTCTCACCAAAGCTTAACTACATACACAACACCATTCACACATACTCATGGATAACCACATGTGGATGAGTTGAAAAATTCTAACATCTATCAAAAGATCCACATCTGTTAATACACAATACAATTATACATAGTCCATTATCTCATATCTATATAAGTTCATCCACGTAAATTATATCAAATCACATATTCAGTTGTAAATGTCTTAGAATTCATGGTAGGTTGTTATATGTTGATTTCAACACCCATCCACGCTTGGATATATACATGGAATTGTTATAATGGATAATGTCCATCAAACTAATATCTACTGTTTAAGCAGTCTTTTGAACCAGTGATAGGACAGTTGAAGGAGTGTATGTTGATCACCCAATTTTGCATAGATGTCCCATATATGGACATGATAGTATGGACGATAATCAGCCTATTTATCTATACTTGGTTATACATGGATGCCCTAGTTGAAGAAAATGTTCTTTCTTGTAAAAGAACTCTATAAAGTGTTTTTTTTGTGAACTCGGTAAAAGTTGTCAGCATAATCTTTGATGTGTTCAGGAATAAAATCGTATATATGAGATGGACATTAGATGTAAAGATGCATATGAAAAGTAAATGGATTTTTTAGAGCATTTCCAATGTATTAATGTATTTTTTTTTTTTTTAATATGCAATTGGATTTCTCTCTAATTTATTATGTCATTTCTCATTTCAAAATCAATATTTTACAAATATTCTTTTTTATTTTATTATTAATTATTAATTATACAAATTTTCAAAATATACAAATTGGCCCATTACTTTTTAATTTTAGTACTTTTAAAATAACTTTTAAATTTATTATAATTTATGTCATTATATTTTTTTATTAACTATATGTTATTTTAATTTTAATTTTAGAGATTATAGTGTTTTAATATTTATAATCATTACTCAAAAAAAATTATCAAAATAATTATTTATAACTTTTAAAGTAAAAGTTTTCAAAATTTTAAAGATTAATTTATAAATAAAAATTCAATTGCAAAATAAAATATGATATTAAATGATTATATATTTGAAATAAAAAATAGCAATATATCATTTTGTAATTAAAAATAAAATATAATTAAAATAGATTTTATTCAGAATTCTTTCTCACAGATCGCTCGGTCATGGTGTCGGTTCGTTGGCAACGCTCTCAGTTAGTGGAGACGAAATATTCATTGTTCGACGTAAGGGATCGATTTTATAAAATCACCCCGGACAAACATGTCATCTCCATGAAGAGTTATGTGACTCTTCATGATACTCGACACTTCCGTTACCAATCTGGTGAAGGAATTGAATTCAAAATCCAATGAGTGTTTTGGTGTCTTTTTGTTTTTGTCAAACCATTTCTTTCATTAAAAAAATCTTAAAAATGGGTAAACCAAGAGTTTTCAGGACTCTTGGCTAAAGTTTAAGCCATCGAATTGGCTTCTCGTGATACAAAAACAAAGGAAATTGCAGAAAAAAGATCGAGAGAGAAATAATATCGTTGATGATACCGTGGAGCTCCATCTATGGAGTCTCCGAGGTGATGGCTTTTATCACTTTCAGTGAATCTGAAGCTAAATGATATACTTGCATATTCTGCATATTTAGCATGCATTTAGAATAGTTTTTCATGCATCCATCTTTCATTTTAGGCTAGTTTGCACCATTTGTCTCATTTTAGGTCCTAAGTCCACTTTGCATTAGCATTTGCATACTTTCTGCATTTTTGCATCGTTATCAGGTTGTTTGGGACACACTGGAGTTGTGGAGGTTACGTGGACGTGCATGTGATCGAGAGGAAGCTTGTGGACACTTGGAGAACTCAGCCGTGCATGCAAAAGACCCGAGATCGAGCAGCAGATCGAGCAAGGCAGGGATCGAGGATGAGATCGAGTGAGGAGATCGATCGTGAGTACAGATGTGGATTACGCCATGCCGATCGAAAGCCAGATCGAGACCACGACCAAGGATCGACTCAAAGATCGAGCAAAAGCAGGCGATCCATAAAGAAGATCGAGCCAAAGATCGAGTGACCCAAGTCAATCTCTGGGACCTTATCCGGCCAGCTCAGTTTTGGAGCGTAATGAGGGGACCATTAGGGTTGTTTAGCTATTTTGGGCAAAGAGGGAACATCACTTTCATTACACACGCTTAGTCTTATCTTTTTCCAGCTTTCATTTAGGCGATTCCGCCATTGTTCTGTTCTAAAAGTTTTTCTTGTTTTAAAACCTTGAATCTTATTAATCATTAAGCATTTTTCGTTAATCGCTTTTCTTAATCATGTTTGGCTTTCTTACCTTCGCATTTTCGTGTGTTCTAGCTATGTGTAGTGAGTAGATTTCTTTGGGTTTAAGGTTGGGGCGATTTGAGGGTTTAAAAGTTTAAGCTTTTGGGAGTTTTTCTTGTTCTTAACTCATTCTCTTCTAGGATTTGGGGTCTTAAAGCTTAGAGAGTCTTGGAAGAGATCTCTATGATTCCAGGGCTTTCTTACCTTGATCAGATTCATAGATCCTTGAAAGCCAAATCCTAGAGACTAATATATCCTCTCCCAAACGCCATGGTTGAAGAGGGGGTTGATACAAGCTCGGAGGGAGATCCGGCTTAATATACCCCTCGGTACGAGAATGGTTCGATCAGTTTAGGGAAGGATGGAACGGATGGTCCGGGACGCCTTGCAGCCAAGATAATCAGGACACAATGACGTGGTACGGTGGTATGGAACGAACTGGACGGCTTCTCGAACGTGGGAAGGGACGGATAGTACCACGTGTGTTGGCGGTACGAGTGAATGAATGGATCGAATGGACGGGCGGGACGAGATGTGGTCGTACCGTCGAGATACTCGGACAGTCTGACCGGTGGATCGAGTATGGAACGATAATATTGAACCGGAGGTGGAACGAAGTGTACCACAGGGGTTATGACAATTCCCTTGATACAACACGAAAACTCTTGATATTTTGGAGGTACTGGTCTCACAAAACAAAGAGCAGAACTCAAGAACAATTCTTGAAGAAATTCGGTATTTTATTGATAATCAAAGTTAAAAATATTACAAGCTGCATATGGAACCTTATAAACTGGTTCTTCAGCCAAAAAGCAATAAAAGAAAGAAAATAAAAATACATAAATGCATAATAATTACATTGAATACTAATGTAAATTAACGACTAATTAAGCTGCAAAAGAGGGTAAAATCATTAGTTAAAATGTGATGAAAATAATAATAAACACTTACCTTGTTTATTGGCATGGTTTAGGTCTTCAATGATTTGCCTCTTTAATCTCTTTGACCATTGTGATGAATCTCTTATGGGTCTTGGGCTTGGCTTGAAACAACAAAGACATTGTAGTCGTTTGCTTTGTAGAATAAAGGCCATACTTCTTGAACTTCTTTAACTCCGAATGGGCTGTGGTTAGCTTTAATATGTTCTTGAAGTTCTTGATCATCAGCTTGATGGGAAGCTAACATGATGGCTTGATTATACTTGTGTTGTAACACTCTTGCTCTTTCTCTTGTAATGGCTCCGGTTGGTACTTCAATCACTTGTGGTTTCGGTTAAGTCAGGTTCTTCTTGGATATCTTCATCATTCCCTCCCTCTTGAATAGGTTTTGACCTCAAAACAGGATCATCTGCAAGAAATGCAGCTAGATCAGACACGTTAAAATTAGAAGATACATTAAACTCACCTGGAAGTTTAAGGCTGTAGGCGTTGTCATTGATCTTCTTAAGGATCTTGAATGGGCCGTCTCCTCTTGGTTTTAGCTTTGAGCTCCGTTGATTTGGAAACCGTTCCTGCCTCATGTGTAGCCAAACCCATTCTCCTGGTGTAAATACAACTTCTTTTTTTCCCTTGTTGGCGTGGTTTGTATACTGTTCGGTTCTCTTTTCCAAGTTCTCCTTAGCTTTCTGCTGCAACTTCTTTATAAATGCTGCTTTTTCTTCTCCTACTAAACTCACGGCTTCGGTGGGTGGTAGTGGTGTTAAGTCCAAAGGTGTAGCAGGGTTGAAGCCATAGACTACTTCAAAAGGAGACATCTTGGTGGCTGAATGTTGTGCTCGGTTGTAAGCGAATTCTATGAAGGGTATACACTCAAGCCAATTCTTCATGTTTCTCCCAATAGTTGCTCTCAACAACGCTGATAAAGTCCGGTTGACTACCTCCGTTTGGCCATCTGTTTGAGGGTGGCAAGAGCTTTGTTCCTAGCTTCTTCCACAAGGTTCTCCAGAAATGGCTGAGAAACTTGCTATCTCTATCTGATACGATTGTCATCGGTACCCCATGTAATCTTACTACCTCCTTGAAGAACAAATCAGCTGTTTGAGAAGTGTCATTCATGATAACATGTTTCTTATGGTGCAATGATGTGTCAAGATGCAACAGAGAGGTTATCAAAACTCTAATGCACACAGAGATGTAGTATAGTGAGCAAGAGAGGTATCAATCCACACCTAGGGGTAGCAAGTTCACTAAGAATGCAAAGGATGAGCAAAGCTAAGCGAAAATGATAAATGATTGGTAAAATCCTTAAAAACTAAATACAAGTGTCAAATGCAAAGCAAAACAATTTTAAAATCCCTGTAAGAGGCTTAACTACCACGAGGAACAAGCGGAATATTTAAAATGCAAAGCTACTAATTATTAAAAATCGACTAGTGGATCGACCACTAGATCGAGCAACAACGATCGATCTACTAAACAGTTTCAAACAGAAATGAATCTAATGACCAGGATGCGAACAGATAGCAAGCAAATGATTAACAGAGATGTGAA